GGAGGGCGCTGGGGGGTCATGTCCAACGGCGCGGAGCAGCAGTGTCGCCCCGCGCGCAGCGACCAGCTAACCGCGTTCCTAAGTTCACTTTTCATGTTTGCCCACGGCCACTTTTGCGTGTAGCGTCGAGCCTTGGGAGGGAAGACCCTGCCGCCCTTTTCCCTCCAAGTCGTCGTCGTCGTCGTCGGATCTGGGGTCGCCGTCGTTGCCGCCGCCGCCGTCATTGTAGTCGTCGTGGTCGTGGTGGACGCCGCCACCATCGCCGTGCTCGTCCGTTTCCGCCGCCGTTGTCATGTCTGTCGTTGCCGCCGCTGCCGCCGATGTGGCCTCTGCAGTCGGCGTCGTGGCCGCCGCTGGGTTGCACTCCGCACAGGGATCTGGGGCCGCGTGGTGGCCAGGGCGGATGAGAGTCGAATGGGAGAAATTGAACAAATTTCGTCGGAAACCCGCGCGGATTTTTGGGTCGGGGATGTATCCTTGTCCCTGGCATGCGGAGCGCGCCAAGAGGCTCCAACGCACGTCCAAGAACTCCCCGCGCAACTCCGACAATCCATGTTTGTGTGGTTATTCGTCTGGCCATTGTCTAGAGGAGGAGTTGGGCGAGGCGGGGAAGGAGAGGCTCATGGTGCCCTTCTTCCTCCAGGTCGTCGGCATCATGTCCGCGGCTTTGGTCGTGCCCCTCTGTTTTTTCCTGCCCATCGGCTTCTCTTGGAAGGCCACTAAGGACGCGGCGGCTCATCCCCGCCAAAGGATGATCAAGAGGAGGAAGGGGAAGAGGAGGAGGAGTAGGACAAATACAAAGAAAAAAAGAAAAAGAGGATGAGAAGGACGAGGACGAGGACGAGGAGGAGGAGGAGGGAGTGTGGATGAGGAAGACATACTAATACGCATGGGAATACTCATAATACTTAAAAGAAGAGGAATACTAAGAATAATAATAATAATGCGAAGAAAACGAACATACCTGTAACAAACAATTAGAAGACGACTAAGGACAATGCTACGAACGATAAGAGGAATACGAATACTACTACGAAGAATAACCAGAATAAGCAGAACAACAATAACCAACACAAGTAAGAGGAGGAGGAGGAGGAGGAGGAGGAGGAGGAGGAGGATCCGTACATGGAAGGCCAGTGCTGCCAGGCCCTATAGGTACGGGATCGTGGGCAGGAGCTGTGAGAAGGCTTTCTGGGAGCAGAGTCTAGCAGCCGAGCAGCATCTCAGTGCAGGAGGCTGTTCGGCAGAGGCTCCCATCGATTTAACGAAGATGTCTGAGAAGGTGAATCGCTATCTTCTTGCCAGAGCAGCACTAAACACAAGTACAACTTGATAGTCTCAGGTCGAAGTTGTCGTTGTACCGTGGCAAGAATCAGTGTCTTAGGAGTGCGTGCGCCCGCTGCAGAGGTCCCAAGCCATCCTGGCAGGGTGCGGGGAGGCCACTCGGGTTTTGACCTGCCTGCTGCTAGACCCTCTTGACAGCACGAGGGAGCACTTCGGGAGCGCTGGCATCTACAATGTCGTCGATGACATCTCGTTGGAGTCGTCAGGTCGTCGCTCGCAGGTCGAGGTCAGGCTTCCGAGGGGAGCCCTTTTTCTTCGCACGGCTTTGGAGAAGCTGTTACTGAGGCCCAGTGGCAGCGCAGCTCCAGTTGAGTGAAGCAGTCGGCTTGGCCGATTTCAGTAGCCATGGGTGCTGCTTGCGGCCCGCGGTCTGCGGAGAGCCACCACAGACGTGCGGCCTGCGGAGAGCATGGGCGGACGCGGTCACATCTAGCTCCAAGGGCGCCCTCGAGGGCGCGAAGTCATTCGCGCTTCGCGGTTCGACTCCGATTATTCCTCGCCCTCCTCTTCCCCTTTGACAGGCGGCGCGAGAGCGCGAAGTTCTTCGCGCTTCGCGCAGCGCGAAGCGCGAAGTTGGGAGCCCGTGTAGCTCTGACGCATTGCGGCGGCCCGCCCCGTGTTGCTAGGACCTCTCACCGAGGCCACCGTCTCTGGCTGGGCGGGGGCGGGGGGCCCGTTGCGCCGCGCGTGGCGCCTTTGCGGGTCCTCTCGTTCTCGGCTCCAGGGGGCGGAGTGCTCCAGGAGACCTCGCAGCAAAAATGCCGCCAGTCGGTATCGTTTAACCGATCCCCTTCCCCATCCCCATCCCCTTGGAGACCCCCACCAAGTTACCCCCCAGTTGGGGATACACCCCTCGAAACCCGAAGGGAACGACCTATATCCCCATCTGAGGGGGCAAATCTGCCAGCTTGTGATGGGGATCGGTTAAACGATACTCAGCCAATACTTCGATAATTTTGAGTGGGGTCGACCCGAGGGCCAGAGCTTTGGTCGATCCGTCCCTCTGGGGTGGAGTTGTCGAGCTTGTTGGGAGGCCGCCACCGACTGTTCACGCCTATTTCCCTCGTGCTTTGCACTGGATTTGTTGCTGCTCCATCGCTCAGCGGTGGCGGATAGCCCCAAAGCCAACTGGAGCCAGCAGGAAGAGGAGGAGGAGGAGGCGGACGGAAGAGGAGGAGGACCAGTGTAAACCCAATAATGATCAACGGCATAAGAATTAACCGTTCCTCCAAGCTCCATTTTCATAGACCGCTACAAGGAACCATTTCCACTGAGGGAAGTGCCCCGTTGGGATACAACCGTTTGAAGATCTCGAAGCGTGCTAGAACACCACTATCGGAACTCAGCGCCACGAATCATTTTAATTGTTGCGTCTTGACAATCCGGAATCATGCCAGAGCACCATTGTTGGGACTTCAACACCGCGAATCAACGTAGTTGTTGCGCCCTGACAATCCTGATCCGCTCCGTACGTTAACCATGAGAGCCCGTGAAACCGTTGCAAATGTTTGAGGCGAATGCGCGCGACGCTGAGGCGAGAGCCATATTTTGAAAAGTAACCGCCCTCACTCCATGAAACTCCTGCAATGTGTTAAGACGAATGCGCGCGGCGCTATGGCGAGAGCCACATGTTGAAAAAGAGCCGCCTTCAATCCGTGAAGCTGTTGCAGATTGTTGATACGAATGCGCCCGGCTCTAAGGCGAGAACGATATGTTGAAAACGGTCCGCCCTCAAGATTCAAATTACTTACAGTGTTTTAGGACGAATGTGTTCGGCACTCCATGTATGAAACTATTGCAGCTGTTCAAGCTTCAAGATCATAGGGTAGGGAAGCCGCAGGCGAAACGCCCAGCTCGCCCTTCCGACTGGCCTCGGGGTGCGACAGGGAGGAGTCATGCATAGGGGAAAGGAATGGAGGACCAGGGCAAGGGCAGGGGCAAGGGCCAGGGCAAGAGCAAGGAGGATGGCAAGGAGAAGGCGAAGGCGGGAAAGGAGGCTGAGGATGAGGAGGAGGGGGCGGAGTAGGAGGAGGAGGAGGAGGAGAAGTGGTAGGATAACGACGGCGAGCAGCCAGAGGACGAGTGCAGTGGCGAGAGAGCCGGGGCGGGCGGGGGACGGGGAGCAGAAGGGAGGGGGGCGCGTGGCCGCAGGACGCCGGGGAGCCGCTCTCGCCGCTGCGTCTGTGCCTGAACTGCTGCTTGGTGGTCATAGGCGCCTGCGCTGAAGGGGCCCAGGGGGGCACGAGCAAATCGACAAACAGTCCAGGATGTCCTAATTTTCTATGTTGCCCTGATTTCCCACTTCCCAGGGAGACAGAAATACATCGACACTGTTCGATGTGTCCCACATTTTCCTTTCCCACTCCATCGCCAATCTTTTCTCATTGTCAAGAGGCTTACCGCCAGTCCGCCGACCCCAATAGGAGGGATGAAGTCAACGGGAGCCTCTTGGGGACCCTCTGGGGGCCTCTTTTCGGCCTCTTGGGGGCTTCTTGGGCGCCTGCTGACGGCCTCGGGGGTCCTCTTGGGGCGGAGGGCTCGGAATGTCACTTAGAGGCACCTCTCTTTGACCCCATCTTGGGGCCCTATTGGAGCTCTCTTGGGCCATCTTGGGCGCCCCATGGGCCGTCTTGGAGCGATCATGGTGGCCTCTTGAGCCGTGTTGGATGTTGCTGAGACAAAACATACCAGTATGGTCAATTTATGAGCTTCCCCAAAGGGATTTGGACGACTCTTGCTTCTTGGGGCCCTCTCGGGGGTCGTCTTGGAGCCCTCGTGTGGCGTCTTTGAGCCCTCGTGGGCAGTCTTGAGGCTATCTTGATCGTCCTCAAGGACCCCTGTGCGTGTTGAAACCCTGCATGAGCAAGCGTAGATCGATTCTGAGGCATCTTGGGTGCCACAGGATGTAGAAATGGAGGCTCCAGAGGCCCCGGGGGAGAGTTGGTGAGCTCGGGGATCCCCCCTTGTTATCGGGTTCGCCGCCGACATCTGAGCCTCCAATGGGATCCTGGGGACGCCTTGTGCCAGGGGCACCTCTGGCGAGATCCGGAGCTCCAGTGGAGTCGGCCAGCATCCTGACCCCAGAGGAGGGGAGGAGGAGGTTGAGGAGGAGGAGGAGGAGGAGGAGGAGGAGGAAGAAGAAGAAGAAGAGGAAGAGGAGGAGGAACGAGAAGGAGAAGGAAAAGGAGGAAAAGGAAGAGGAGGAGGAGAAGGAGGATAATGACAAGGGGGAAGAGGAGGCGAAAGATCGAGATAGAGCGGAGGAGACGACCACCGGTGTGGACAAGCGCCCTGGCCTAATTGAGACCAGTTGAGCGAGGCCGTACGTAGCCTCCAGATGTTTAGACACTCTTATACACGGAGGAGACGGAGGAGGACGCGGGGGAGGAGGGGGAGGACCCAGAACCCCGACATCGTGTTTTTTTTCGCAACGTCCACCCCCTGGTGGGGGGGCGTCCAAGAGGGGGGCGTCCAAGAGAGGTGTGTGCAAATCGTGGCCCGAGGCATGTGTGCGGACCAGGGGGGGGGGTCAGGGAACGCACTGAAATAAGAAGAGGGGCCATGAAATCTGGAGAGAGATCATGGCCCTGGCCATGACATCCCCCTCCCAGTCTCCCCCCCCTCTCCGTAGAATAAGAAGAAACCATACAAACATAAACTTTTGGCGCTCCGCGCGGATTTCTTGGATCTGCGCTGGACCCCCCTCCCTGGCGCGCGGAGCGCGCCAGGGGCGGCGCCGCCGGAGGGACCCAGGCGCGGATCCAAGAAATCCGCGCGGAGCGCCAAAAGTTTATATTTATGGTCTTTGTTCTTCTTCGACCCTAGTCTTCACCCCCCTCTTGGTCGCTCTCGACCCAGGGGTCTGGACCCCTTTCCCCGTGACCGGGTCTTCATCCAGGGTTTTGGAGTCCCGAAACGGTGCGGTGACAGACCGTGCGGTGACTTCGAAATCCCCCAAGACCTCACCGCACGGTCCGTCAACGCACGGTTTTGGGACCTCGGATGCCCCCATCGCCCGAGACGTCCTCGGAGAACGACCCGAGTCCCAAAACCGTGCGGTGACCCCGAATCCCCACCGACACACCACGGTGTGGTCACCACCCCCGTTTGGGGGCCCCCGATGGACCCAAGGGTCTGGACCCCTTTCCCCCTGACCGGCTCTTCGTCCAGGGTCGTTTTCTGGCGGCCCGTGGCGGCCCAGACGCTCCGCCGTGGCTCGTGCACTGCGAGGGGAGGGTGCCTCCCTGGCCAAGCCAGGGGGGGCGTTCTCACCGCTCTTTGGCCCGGGATGAGCCTGGCTAACAGCAGTGGAAACATACTATACATTATGTATGTATGTATGTATGTATGTATGTATGTATGCATGCATGCATGCATGCATGCATGCATGCATGCATGTATGTATGTATGTATGTATGTATGTATGTATGTATGTATGTATGTGTATATATATATACACATGAAAGAGCGTGTTCCACCGCTGCTGGCGGAAAATCGGGGGAGTCACTACCGGTTCGAACCCCCCCCCTCCGGAAAACCACGGGGGGTCACTACCGGTCGAACCCCTCCCCCCCCCCAGTCCATCATGAAAAGGGGGGGGGGTCACTACCGGTTCGACCCCCCCCCCCCGAAAACCGGAGGGGGTCACTACCGGTTCGAACCCCCCCCCCTCGAAAACCAGGGGGGGGGCGGACAGTACGGTTGTGGTGGGGACAGTGGTGAGTGGACAGCGGGAAAACCAGGGGGGGGGCGGACAGTGGTGGGGACGGTTGTGGTGGGGACAGTGGTGAGTGGACAGCGGGACAGTAGTGGGGACAGTGGGACAGTGGTGGGGACGGTAGTGGTGGGGACAGTGGTGAGGACAATGGTGTGAACAGTGGGGACAGTGGGACACTGGTGGGGACGGTGGTGGTGGGGACAGTGGTGTGGGGACAGTGGTGTGGGGACAGTGGGACTGTGGTGGAAACAGTTAGACAGTGAAGGGTACAGTGGTGGTGGGGACAGTGGTGAAGGCGGTGGCGAGGACGGCAGTGGGACAATGGGACAGAGGTACAGTGGGGACAGTGGTGGGGACAGTGGGGACAGTGGTGGGAACAGTGGGACAGCTCAGTGGGACAGTGGAGGAGTCAGTGGGTCAGTGGGGACAGTGGGGATAGTCGGGCAGTGGTTGGGGCCGTGGAGAAAGTGGGGAGAGTGGAACCATGGTGTGAACAGTGGTGGGGACAGTGAGGACAGTGCGACAGTGGTGGGGGCACTGGTGGGGACAGTAGGGACGGTGGTGGAACCAGTGGGGACAGTGGTGGTGAGGACAGTGGTGCTGGGAACAACAGTGGGGGATGTGGTGCGGACGGTGGTAGGGACCAGGAGTCGTTTGCTGGCGGTGAGGGGGAGGGGGGGGGTTCGAACCGGTAGTGACCCCCCTCCGGTTTTCGAGGGGGGGGGGGGGGTTCGAACCGGTAGTGACCCCCCCCGGTTTTCGAGGGGGAGGGGGGGTGGGTTAGGGGGGGGTTGGGGGGGTTGCCGGGGGAGAGGGAGGGGGGGGTTCCAGCAGGGGGGGGGGAGGATTTTCGGAGGGAGGGGGGACCCCAGGTTCCGGAGGAAGAGGGGGGGGAATTTTCCACAGTAAAGCAGCGGTGGATCACGCTTTCTCTCTCTCTCTCTCTCGCATATATATATATACACAAATACACAACATATATATATATATATATATATATACATATACACACAAGATACAGGAGAAAGCCCAAATCAAAATCTTTTTAGACCTGTAGGGCTATGGGGCTATAGGGCGATGGGGCTATAGGGCCGTGGAACTATAGGGCTATACTGCTATAAGGCTATAGGGCTATAGGACTAAAGGGATACAGGGCTATTGGGCTATAGGGCTACAGGTCTATCGGGCTATAGGGTTACAGGGCTATAGGGGACTCAGGCACTCGGGCACCTGGGCACCCGGGCACCCGGGCACCAAGGCACCAGAGCACACGGGCGGGCCGCGGAAATCGGCGGCAAAGCTCATTTAACCATATGAGACTGGAGAAAAAACCAATCAGGGCTATAGGGCTAGGGGGCTATAGGGCTATTGAGCTATAGGGCTATAGAGCTATAGGGCTATAGGGCTATTGGGCTATAGGGCACCCCCGGGCACCCCTGGGCACGCCCGGGCACCGGGGCACCCCCGGGCACCCCCGGGCACCCGGGCACCCGGGCGTGCGGCGAAAATCGGCGGCAAACCTAACCTAACCATATGAATCCGCTAGGACCCCTCCAGAGGCAAGCTCTGATTGGGGAATTAAAGTGGGCTGTAGGGCGATGGGGCTATAGGGCCATGGAACTATAGGGCTATAGGGCCATAGGGTTATAGGTCTACACAGCATAGGGCTATAGGACTACAGGTCCATAGGGCTGTAGTGTTGTAGGGCTACAGGGCTCTGGGGCTATGAGGTTGTAGGGCTATAGGGCCATAGGCCTATGAGTTTACAGGGCTATGGGGCTGTAGCGCTATAAGGCTATTGGGCTATAGGGCTATAGGCATATAGAGCTGTGGGGCTACAGGGCTATAGGGCTATGGGGCTATAAGGCTATAAGGCTATAAGACTAAAGGACAGACATAAGGGATATAGGGCTAAAGGGATATAGGGCTATAGGGATATAGGGCTATAGGGCTGTAAGGCAATTGGGCTATAGGGCAATTGGGCTATAGGGCTACTGGGCTATAGAGCTACAGGGGGCTCTAGGGCTATAAGGCTAGAAAGCTGTAAGGCTCTAGGGCTATAGGGCTTTAGTGCTATGGGGCTAGAGGGCACCCAGGCACCTGCCTGGACACCTGGACACCCGCGTACTTGGGCGGGCCGCGGAAATCGGCGGCAACGTTCACCTAACCGCATGAATCCGCTAGGACCCCTACAGAGGCAAGCTCCGATTGGGGAATGAATCCGCTAGGACCCCAATGAATCCGCTAGGATCCCTACAGAGGCAAGCTCTGATTGGGGAATATAGAGATCTTGTCGCCTTGTGGGGGGGGGAGAGGGCCGACACCCCCTCAACAGAACCCTGGCGAGCACACTGCAGGAAGACCGCCACGGAAGACCTCCGCTTCGGGAGGGGTGCGTGGGTCAGGATGGACACATCGGTACAAATACACGAACAACAAGTTCACATGACCATGCGAAGATCCACCGATCCCCGCTTACAGGGGGTGCAACGGCGTGCGAGATGATTGGATATCCCCATCCCCTTCCTCCTGCCCCCCATAGGGCGACGAGATCTCCTCCTCCTCCTCATCATCATCCTCCTCATCATCATCCTCATCATCCTCCCCCGCCCCTTCCCCCTCATCCTTCTTCATTCCTTTGTCAACAAGTCCACCCTGTCGCACCCCGAGGCCCGAGGCCAGTCGGAAGTGCGGCCTTGGCGTGTCTCTTTGCGATTTCCTCACCATGTATGATCGTGACGCTCCTGGAATTAAATCGGGCCTGTCCCTCTACAGGAGGAAAATGCAAACACAGTAAAGAAATAGTCGGGAGACGATGTTTGTTTATATTTGTTCACCATTTTGAACTTGTTTGGGGTATTTTTTATTTTCCGTCGAAAATCGGTCAGTAGGGGGACATGCCCGACCTAATCCTAGAACATGGCAACAGTTTACCAGACGGAGGGCGGACCTTTTCCAAAATGTGGCGTTCGCTTTAGCGCCGCGCACATTCGCTTGCACAAGCTGTAAGAGTTTGTCGTGTTGAGGGGGAGCTGTTTTTTCAAATTGTGGTTTTCGCATTAGCGCCGCGTGCACTCGTTTTATGAGCTTCGCTTTAAGAGTTTACAGCCGTTTCTATGATTCTCATGGTTAACGTGTAAGCTAAACCCTGGCACACGCGCAACAGGGCGCAGCGCGCAACAGTTACATTGATTCGTGGTGGATAGTTTTTTGGCACGATGTCAGACTGCCAGGGCGCACCAGTTACGTTGGTTCGCGGTGATGAAGTCCCAGGGATGACGTTCTGACACGATTCAGGGTCGTCAAGACGCAGCAGTAACGGTGATTCGCGGCGTTGGAGTCCCGGAAATGATGTTTTGGCACGATTCAGGATTTTCGAACGGTTGTCTCCCAACGGGGCACGTTCTACAGTGGAAATGAGTCCTTGTATGGGGCCTATGAAGAGGGAGCTTGGAGGGAGGTTGTATTCCAACATCGTTGATGAGTCTTGGGTGTGCACTGGTCCTCCTCCTCCTCCTCCTCCACCTCCTCCTCCTCCTTCTCCTCCTCTTCCTCCTCCTCGCGCTGGGGCTTTCCCTAGGCTGGGCCCTTGATCCGAGGGGGCGAATCGCGCGTCTCGCGCGCCGCGGCCTGGGCAGGAGCGGCTGCCCTTCTCCAGGGCGGGCGGCGCGAGGGGCGCCAAAACGACCGCTCACCGCGGGGTACGATGAGCGACGTTGCGCAGGTGATCTATATCGAAGGAGAAACAAATCTATGAACTTTCGACCCTCCACGCGGATTCCTTGGATCGGCGCAGGGCCCCTCTGGCGCCGCCCCTGGCTCGCCAGGGAGGGGGGTCCGGCGTAGGTCCAAGAAATCCTCGCAGACCATCGGAAGTTTACGTTTACGCCGGTCCTCCTCCTCCTCCTCCTCCTCCTCCTGCTCCTCCTCCTCCTGCTCCTCCTCCCGCTGGGGCTATCCGTAGGATGGGCCCTTGATCCGCGAGTGGCTTTCGGCCAGGCCCCGGAGGCCCGTGGAGAGGACCCCGCGAAGACCCCCGAGAGCGGCGAGAGGCATCCCCGGGGCCTCTCTCCTCCGGGGCGCGCTCGTCTCGTGCCCAGCCCTCCGGAGGGGGGCCCCGAGGCGGGGGGCAGTGCGGGCGGGGGGTCGGGCAGAGCACCATCTTTTGGCAGGGCAGGAGGCAGCGGAAGCCGAGGCGGCGGTTGGCACACGGCGCGGCGCCACGAGCCCGCGCGCCCTCGCGGGGGGCGCTTGAGGCTGTGGCTCGCGCGCTCGCCTCCGCCGGGGCCTCGCCCCTGCCCCTCCGCGCGCCGGCGCGGGCCTGGATCGAGGCGCGGGGGCCGGGTGCGTGGCCGCGGCTCGGCTCCGGAAGGGTGCGAACGGTCACCGTTTGGCGCGCCAGGCGCTTCTCCTGCCAGCAGCGGGGGTGGCGGGTCTGGTGGACTTCGGCCCATGCCGCCGCCGTTCCCGAGTCGACAGCCTCAGGGTCGGGGGCGGGATGGGCCGAGGTCCGTGATGCCTGTTGGGGTCTTTGGGATGCTTCTCGTGGGCCTCTTTGGGGAGACTCTGGGGAGTCTCTGCCCTTCGTCCGTTAAGATCAAAGACCAGATTGGAGGCGGAAGGCGGACGAGGACGAGGAGGAGGAGGAGGAGGAGGAGGAGAAGGAGAAGGAGGAGGAGGAGGAGGAGGATAATGATAATAGTTAAGGAGAAGGAGAAGGAGAAGGAGAAGGAGAAGGAGAAGGAGAAGGAGAAGGAGAAGGAGAAGGAGGAGGACGACGAGGCGGAGGAGGAAGAGGAGGAGGAGGAGGAGGAGGAGGAGGAGGAGGAGGACGGTGGGCCGCGGACCTCGCACGCACTTTCCGCTTTGCGAGGCGCCTGCTGCATGGTCATCGGCCTAAGCTCTTCCGTCGAGGACCTCCGCAAGGAGATGGCGAAGACGGAGAAGGTCCAGGAGCTCCAATCAGCACGATCGAAACGGAGACGGAAAGATTGGAGACGAGGGGCCAGCAGGAATTCTTGTCCGTCCTGGGCAGGACTCGGTGGTCGGTGTCGCCGCGTGCGTTGTCCGCTCGGGAGCGCAAGCGCCTGTCCAGCAGCGGCCGCTGTCGGTTTGGGACACCGCTTGCTGCTGCTGATCGAAGGAATATTGGCATAAGCACCAGCCATCGGAGCTCCGCACGGATTTCTTGGATCGGCGTTGGGCACCCCTGGCGGCGCCTCCGGCGTCAACCCTGGCTCCGCGCGCCCCGATCTCAGAGATCCGCGCGGAGCTCCGAAAGCTTTGTCTTCATGGCGTGTTTACCTAACAGCGAAGACTGATAGGTTTCTAATGGTCTCAAAAGAAAGCATCATGACTCCCCAGGGGGGTCAGGGCAGGATCCGGGGAGAATCCGCGGAAGTCGTTTTATGCAAACAGTTACACACTTCGTGGTCTTTGAGGTCCCAGAACTCCATTCCTGGGCCACATTCTGAATGCCCGGAGCTAACTGCAGGCCACTTCGTGCTCTTCGAGTTCCCAGAACTCCATTCCCGGGCCACATTTTGAATGCCCGGAGCCAACTGTAGGCCACCTCGTGGTCTTCGAGTTCCCAGAACTCCATTCCCGGGCCGCATTTTGAATGCCCGGAGCCAACTGTAGGCCACCTCGTGGTCTTCGAGTTCCCAGAACTCCATTCTTGGGCATGATTTTGAATGCCCGGAGCCAATTGTAGGCCACTTCGTGGTCTTCGAGTTCCCAGAAGTCCATTCCTGGGCATGATTTTGAATGCCCGGAGCCAACTGTAGGCCACTTCATGGTCTTCGAGTTCCCACAACTCCATTCCTGGGCATGATTTTGAATGCCCAGAGCCAATTGCAGGCCACTTCGTGTTTTTCGAGTTCCCAGAATTCCATTCCCGGGCCACATTTTGAATGCTGAGGCAGGCTGAGGCTGAGGCTGAGGCAGGTTGAGGCTGAGGCAGGCTGAGGCTGAGGCCGAGGCTGAAGGCAGACTGAGGCTGAGGCTGAAGCAGGCTGAGGCTGAGGCAGAGGCAGGCTGAGGCTGAGGCTGAGGCAGGCTGATGCTGAGGCAGGCTGAGGCTGAGGCTGAGGCTGATGCAGGCTGAGGCTGAGGCAGGCTGAGGCTGAGGCCGAGGCTGAAGGCAGACTGAGGCTGAGGCTGAAGCAGGCTGAGGCTGAGGCTGAGGCAGGCTGAGGCTGAGGCTGAGGCAGGCTGAGGCTGAGGCTGAGGCTGAGCAGGCTGAGGCTGAGGCTGAGGCAGGCTGAGGCTGAGGCCGAGGCTGAAGGCAGACTGAGGCAGGCTGAAGCAGGCTGAGGCTGAGGCTGAGGCAGGCTGAGGCTGAGGCTGAGGCTGAGGCTGCAGGCTGAGGCTGAGGCTGAGGCTGAGGCTGAGGCTGAGGCTGAGGCCGAGGCTGAGACTGAGGCTGAGGCTGAAGCAGGCTGAGGCTGAGGCTGAGGCAGGCTGAGGCTGAGGCTGAGGCAGGCTGAGGCTGATGCAGGCTGAGGCTGAGGCAGGCTGAGGCTGAGGCTGAGGCTGATGCAGGGTGAGGCTGAGGCAGGCTGAGGCTGAGGCCGAGGCTGAAGGCAGACTGAGGCTGAGGCTGAGGCAGAGGCAGAGGCAGGCTGAGGCTGTGACTGCGACTGCCGTTGCCACTGCGACTGTCATCGCGAATGCGACTGCGACTGCGAGAACAGCAGAATTCTACAACTGGATTCTCATCTGAACCTTAATGGGAATGCTTCCAGATATGGTCTTAGACATCGCTGTGAGGTTGCTTTGTCGGGATAATTTGTTCCTCCCTGTCGGGCGCGCCAATCTGGGCAGGAGGAGCTCGTAGCAGGGGGGGAGGGGCGCGGAGGAAGCTGGACGAGCAGCAGAGGAGGAGCCCGGAGGGGGGGGGGGGGGCAGGGAGGGAGGGAGGCGGCAGCATCCGCCCTCTTCAGCCGGCGCCCTCTCTTCCCTCCCTCCCTCCATGCGGCGGCGAGCGAGAGGGGGAAGCGAGAAGGAGAAGACCTCCTTGGAAGGCGGTGGGGCCCCTCAGAAGCCCTCGCGCTTTCTGAGAAGTCTTCTGTGTCTTCGGGGAAGGCTTGGAGCCAGGGGGCCTCCGAAGCGTCCGAGAAGGCCCGCCCCTTCTCGCTTCCCCCCCGGGCTCGCCGCCGATCCATCCTTCCGTCATGCCTTGTCCGCCCCTGAGCTCGAAGGGATTGGCGAGGTTTGCTAACCTGCCGTGTGGTGCTGTGTGTGCGATGTTCAGCGGTACGGCCTCCTCACCCGAGCAGCGCAACAAAACGGAGTCGTCTGCACCGACATTGGCGCATAAGCTTCCCTCGTAAGGTCGCGCGTAAGAGCCCTCGTCTCATGTTGGCTTGCCGCGCTGGTGGCCCGCGTAAGCTGCGGCGGAAGGTCGCTGTGTCATTTCGCGTAAGACCCGTTCTTGATCGTCGCTCACCTGGCTGTGGCGCTCTGCCTCCTGCTCTTTGGGCAGGAGGGATCGCAGAAGAAACATCGACATGCGCATAAACTGTCGGAGCTCCGCGCGGATTTCTCGGGCGCGGAGCGCGCCAGGGGCTACGTACGCAGGAGGCTCACCATGGGAGGCCCAGCGCTGATCCAAGAAATCCGCACGAACCTCCTACAGTTTATGATCATATCGTTTTCCGTTGCATACCGTTTTCCGTTGCTCCTCGAAGGGGGAAGGGGGGAGGACGGATTCCAGCGAGGGATTCGTGTGTTAGCCGGCACCTGGCGCAGGAGGCACCCGCACCACCTTGTCGCGAGTCGAGAGCAATGACAGCATAGTGCAGGGCCTGCAACGGAATCGCTTGCCGCGGGTGGAGTCAGAGATGGTCGGTTGGGCAGCAGTGAGGCTTTCATGGTCAGCTTAGCCGCCGTGCTAGGCACGCCAGTGCCGGAAGCTCCCTCAGGCTCCGCACTTTACATGTTGAAGCCCGAGGGAGGAGGGAGGAGGAAGGGTAGGCCCGAACATCCGACGATGTGCTCTTTTCAGTCCCCGCGCTTCTCCTCGATTTCGGTTTCTGGGGCTCGCTATCAAACCCCAGGGCCGTCAAACATGGATCTTGAGCGCAAAATTGCCGTTGTGAAAAAGGGTCGGCACTCCCGTGGCCGCGCATGGAGAAACATACACACACACTGTCTACCTCTCCTTCTCTCTCTCTCTATTTCTCTTTCACACACACAGCACACATACACGCCCATCGCCAGATACATGGCAGGGAAAATGGAGCAGGAGGAGAAAAGAGGGAGGGAGGATGAGCGAGGCGAGGGCGTCGATACTTGTGATCAAACCTGCCCGCAGGAAGGGGGAGGAGGAGGAGGAGGAGGAGGAGGAGGAGGAGGAGGAGGAGGGAGAGAGGAAGGGAAGCAAGGATGAGGAAGGAGGGGGGAGGTTGAGGAGCTCCTCCCGCCTCCAGCCTCCTCCTCCTCCTCCTTTCTCCCCGTCACTGGGCCGTCACACCGCCATCCCAGCGGCGGGCCCCACGATTCACATATATCCAATCCAATATGTCCCCCCCCCTCCTCCCTCCCTCCCTCCGTCCCTCCCTGCCTCCCCAGTCCCTTCTCCTCCTCCTCCTCCTCCTCCTCTCCTCCTCTCCTCCTCCTCTCTTCATCATCCTTGTCCTCTTTTACCTCCCTTCTCCTCCCCCTCCTTCTCCTCTCTCCTCCTCCTCCTCCTCCTCCTCCTTCCTTCCTCTCCTCCTCCTCTCCTCCTCTCCCTCCCCTTCTCCCCCCCCCCTCCCACTTCCCCTCCTCCTTCTCGTCCTCCTCCTCGTCCTCCTCCTCCTCCTCCTTCTCCTCCTCCCACCTTCCTCCTCCACTCCGCCCGCTCCCCCCCATTCCCCCTCCCTCAGGAAGCTGGCGCGGCCGCCGAGGTTGCCGCCGAGATGGCCTCGGGTCTCCTCTCCGCGGCAGCGGCGCAGGCTGCAGGGGGGGGACGCAGCGCGCGGAGGAGGAGGGGGCGGCATGGAGAGGCAGTGGGAGGAGAAGCGAGGAGGAGGAGGAGGAGAAGGAGGAGGAGGAGGAGGAGGAGGAAGAGCGAGCAGGAGCGAAGAGGTGCGAGGAGGAGCGAGGAGGAGCCAAGACGAGCGAGGAGGAGCGGGGATCAGCGAGGATCAACGAGGAGCAGCGAGGAGGAGCAGAGGAGTGAAAAGGCGCGAGGAGGAGCGAGGATCAGCGAGCAGCAGCGAGGAGGAGCGAGGAAGACCGAGGAGGAGCGAGGAGAGGCGATGAGGGGCGAGGAGAGCGAGGAGGAGCGAGGAGGCCGAGGAGGGGGCGGGGCGAAGACGGAGGCTGAAGCGGAGGGGGAGGAGGAGGGGGAGGAGGAGGGGGAGGAGGCGGAGGAGGAGGAGGAGGAGGAGGAGGAGGAGGAGGAGGAGGAGCGAGGAGGAGGAGGAGCGAGGAGCGAGCAGCGAGGAGCGAGGAGCGAGGAGCGAGAGGATGAGCGAGGAGCGAGGAGGAGGAGGCGGAGGACGAGGAGGAGGAGGAGGATGAGGAGGGGGAGGAGGAGGAGGAGAAGTAGGAGGAGGAGGAGGAGGAGGAGGCGGCGGATAAAGCGGAGGCCGAGATGGAGGAGGAGGATAAGGATCAGGAGGATGAGAAGGAGGAGGAGGAGGAGGAGGATAAGGCGGGTAAGGAGGATAAGGAGCATAAGGAGGATAATGAGGAGGAGGAGAACGATGAGGAGGATAAGGAGGAGGAGGGGCGATGAGCGAGGACCGAGGAGCGAGGAGCGAGGAGCAAGGAGGAGGAGGAGGAGGAGGAGGAGGAAGCTGCGGAAGAGGAGACGGATGATGAGGCGGAGGAGGAGGCGGGGGAGGAGGATTTGTAGGGGGAGGAGGGGAAGGAGGAGGAGAGGAGGAGGAGGAGGGAAGGAAGGTTGCAGGAAGACGAGGAGGAGGAGGAAGACGAGGAGGAAGACGAGGAGGAGGAGGAGGAGGAGGAAGCGGATGAAGAGGATACTGAGGAGGAATGATAGGAGGAGGAGGAGAAGGAGAAGGAGGAGGAATAGGAGGAGACCGACGCGGAAGAGAAGGAGGATGGGAAGGAGGAGAAGGAGGAGGAGGACGAGGGGAAGGAGGCGGACGAGGAGCGAGGAGGAATGAGGAGGCGGAGGAGGTGGAGGAGGTGGAGGAGGAACATATGACGAATAATAGGTGGAACACGATTTTTGGAGAAGGATGAGGCGGAGGAGGAGGAGGAGGAGGAGGAGGAGGAGGAGGAGGAGGAGGAGCGAGGAATCCGTAGCCATGTTGGCTCAAGCCATTAGGGCTCAAGCCCTTTTAGCTCAAGGCCGCGTGTGGGCCACCCCATCGCCTCGATGGGAGCACCAGTACACATTTTGGCAACACCTTACAATGCATTTGCCAACCTCATTGTTTTCCCCCGGGCTGCCATGGGCAGCCAGGACAATGGGTTTAAAGTGGTCAGTACGTGGTGCAAGGGTAAAAAGAACGAGCGGTGGTATACATTATGCTATCATTATGGCGATCCTACTTGGGTCATTCCCCCGTCTGCACCACCCACGACTCCAGGGAAAGGTTGGGCAGAAGGGCCCCGAGGCCATTGGAATACAAAGGTCTAACAATCCCAGGGGCTCAAAGGTGGAAGGGCGGACGGCCAAGGAGGAAAAGGCGATACAGGAGGCAAAGGTGGAAACAAGAAGGGGGCGACAGACGCTTACATGGACCCGCGTCGTAGTACAGAATACCCTTGGACTTCAAGATTTGGTACGCAAGACTATGACCCCAAGCCTGCCAAAGGAAAACATATAGCTACCATGTCCCTCATCACCAAGCTTTTACAGCGTGCTGGCGAGGACAACTCAGATATTCCCCCTCGGCAGTCCCGTTGGTTCAACAACTGCAATACCAGGTGCAAGAAACTCAGGAAGCAAACGAACCCATGCCCCGCACGCTTAAGCGCTACGAGACAAGAGCCACGAGCAAAACGAACACATTGTCGGCTGTCTAGGAGGAGATTGCCCAATGCGATACATTGTTGGAGCAGTTCCTCAGTAGGAAGGAAGAGTTGGGGGAAGAGGCAGAGGCAGTCAAAGGGGAGATTAAGGATCTGCGAAGCAGATGCAGGAGGTTCAAGATGAGACTCGTCTGACCTCCAGGACCGTTTGTATGCTTGGGAGAAGGTTGTCATGTTGGATCCAGACAGCAAGTCCTTGTTGGAGGTCTACGATCAAGCACGCATGCAAGAAGGAGGAGCAAGTCGTATGGGGGATGATGCATGGGAGGACGCAGTGCAATGAATGGAGGAGCGACAGGACGAGGAAATGCCACTGTGACTTGCAATGTTTAAGCGTATTAGACATGTTGGAGCTCTTGGAGAAAGGGACAGATGAGCTTCTGGAGGCTTCCGCATGCGCAACGCATTCAAATTCTCCAGGAAGGGCCCACGATGACCAAAACAGGAGGTGGAGCAGGAGCTGAAGGATCATTGGAAGGTACGGCAACAGCAGCAGCAGGACCTACAGGGGAGCATGTCGCAGTGCCAGATGCTCCGTCTCTTTAGCATTAAGCATAAGTGCAGGCGTTCCCGCCGACGTAGAGGTGGCAAGAAACCACCAAGCTTTGAGCCAGCTGCTACCAGTGTCTCTTCGTGGGGCACAGGTGGAGCCATAGTACCAAATCTCAGCGGCGACGTCTTGCTTGTGCAGGAACACAGGAACACAACTTGCGAGGGCCAGCCTACTTCTAGACCGTTAAGAAGCTGAGAGCAAAAGGTTGGAAAGTATCCAGGTCAAGCGCAATCGCAGGTAAGCTAGAAGGTAATTCATCTGGTGCGTTTAACATGGCAAAGAATCACCTGGGTGCACATGGAGACAAAGAGGGTAGCATGCATCCAGGAAGGCTGTGCAAGTGTCGACCTCACACAGACAACTGTGGCACCATAGTCCTTTACTCTATACATATGGTAAGTGGGCAAGGACTAAGCATTAAACAAGTTGTTGATATTGTACAAGCTGGGGGCTGATATCAAAGCCCATGGCAGACCGGCCGTGATGGGGGGGGATTCAACATTGCCCCCCCCCCCGACACTCCAAGAGTATATACTTGTAAGTCCACTAGATCTACAGCTCACTGCACATCGGAGACCAGCATGGGAAGCAAGCTCGTGCCTGGATTATTTCTTGGTGAGCTCACTCCTTGCACGCGCATTTCGGCTTTCATGCGTTGACTTCCATATCCCTCTCAGCCCTCGTCGCGTTGCGCGTCTCCTTGCCTTCTTGCGCCGACGGTATCTACGTGCAGACATCAGAGAAGTACCATCCCAGTGCCATTGAGAAAGCCAGTGGACCTTCTCCCCCGCAACCCGCGGAAGCCGATGATACAGTGGCGGAGGAGATGCATGAGTACAGTAGCAGAGCCGAGGATGTGGATGGGCAGGTTTGGGCACGAGCAGCAGGAAGAAGGCGTCAACATACTCGCGAGCATATACAACAGATGGAGGCCCGGGCAGCAGGAATCATTTTTCGGAGTAAGCCAGGCAGAAGTTGCAGGGGAGGTTCCGGGGCTAGACAGCGCGCGCGTTCAGGCACCCTCCTGCTGACCCCTGAAAACAAGACGCCGTGGGGGGCCCCAGCCAGAGGGGGCGGCGACGTGGGCGGCGCACGGGCTGGCCAAGATCCAAGGGCATTTCCAGGAGGAGGCGAATGGAAGAAAGGACGAATGCGCTAAAAGCTTGGCGAAGCAGTTGAAATAGCTGCCCGAGGTAGGCGGCCCTTTTTTCGGAGATTTCGGCAGCAGGGCGGCCACGCATTTCATTCAATCCTCGGCGAACTAGGCGCGGACACCCAAGATTGGCATCGGGGAGAGAAGTCCGTTTTGGATAGCATGGTAGTGTCCTGTCAGCGCACTGGAAAGGCTTTCACAGGTTAGGAGCAGAAGCAGAAAAGCTTGGATAACAGAAGCAAGCCAAGGGTCAGGCGCAGACATTCTGGGGCAAATGCAAGGTGCGGCAGATCGAGATCAAGAGACAGCGAATTGGGGTAGCACTTCGTCGTTTCCATCGCTGCAGCAGAACCATGCGGGCAGTTGGCAAGCTTAGTGGGATGCCACCCACTCCCCAGTTGTCATGGAGTGGAAGCCTGAACAAAAGTTCCAGAAGTTACGTCAGGGGCAGTTGCTAGAAAGCTGGTTGTCAAGTGCGGGACTCGAGCGTGCCAGCCAGACAGCGCCCCAAGGTTTAGTGTCAGAGGAGCGCATGAGAGTAGCAGCTCACATGTACCAGATCATGGGCACTGCCAGCGCCTCCCCAACCCAAGTCAGACGGCTCGAGATTGCCCTGGCAGGGGGGCGCAAGGGAGGAGGCCGCCGTTGCATCGCCCTCTACAGGGCCGCCTCCCGCCCCCGTGGTCAGGTGCATGCCGCGGCAGGAAGGGGGCGGGGGGGGGCGCGGGTCGGGCCTGCAGTTTAGCGCAAGGCAGGGCAGAAGGACAGAAGGCGCAGTCTGGCGTCAAGCAGTTGAGAGCGAACGAGCAACAGGGGATAAAGGGTCATTATGTAGCTCCGCTTTGGGACCTCAAGTCATGTTACGAGTGCCTAGATCACGAGATCTTCATGCAGATTTTCCTCTGCATGTTGGAATAGTCAATGCATCGGTGCGGTTGGCAGCGCAGGTTGAGGTTCGACGGTTGCATTTCTGATCCCGCGTACCGTACTCGGAGCGTCGCAGCCAGTGCTAGCCCTGCCAATAGGACGCGGAGGGATACTTGTAGCCTGTAGTCGATCACGCATGCGCACGCAGTATTGGTTGCAGCATGCAAATTGACGATCCGACCATGTCGGCATGGCATCGCGCGCGCGAGCATGACCGCATCGAATGCTTGTGCACGCTGGCTCCGTACATGCTACAAGGGCTAGCCACGCTCAGATGCACACTGGTTGTTGACAAGATTTGTCGAGGGGGC